CATGGTTCCATTTTTAATAACAATACTAGTGGAGTCAATTATGGTTCCATATTGACTCCACTAGTATTGTTATTAAACAAGGTTCCATATTGACTCCACTAGTATTGTTATTAAACAAGGTTCCATATTAACTCCACTATTATTGTTATTAAACATGGTTACGTATTGACTCCACTAGTATTGTTATTAAACATGGTTCCATATTGACTCCACTAGTATTGTTATTAAACATGGTTACATATTTACTCCACTAGTATTGTTATTAAACATGGTTACATATTGACTTCGCTAGTATTGTTATTAAACATGGTTACATTTTGACTTCACTAGTATTGTTATTAAACATGGTTACATATTAACTCCACTAATATTGTTATTAAACATGGTTCCATATTGACTCCACTAGTATTGTTATTAAACAAGGTTCCATATTGACTCCACTAGTATTGTTATTAAACATGGTTACATTTTGACTTCACTAGTATTGTTATTAAACATGGTTCCATATTGACTTCACTAGTATTGTTGTTAAACATGGTTACATATTGACTTCACTAGTATTGTTATTGAACAATGTTCAGTATTGACTCTACCAGTATTGTTATTAAACATGGTTACATATTGACTCCACTAGTATTGTTATTAAACAAGGTTCCATATTGACTCCTGTAGTATTGTTATTGAACAAGGTTCCATATTAACTCCACTAGTATTGTTATTAAACAAGGTTCCATATTGACTCCACTAGTATTGTTATTAAACATGGTTCCATATTGACTCCACTAGTATTGTTATTAAACAAGGTTCCATATTAACTCCACTAGTATTGTTATTAAACATGGTTACAAATTGACACCACTAGTATTGTTATTAAACATGGTTACATATTGACTCCACTAGTATTGTTATTAAACAAGGTTCCATATTAACTCCACTAGTGTTGTTATTAAACAAGGTTCCATATTGACTCCACTAGTATTGTTATTAAACATGGTTACATATTGACTCCACTAGTATTGTTATTAAACAAGGTTCCATATTAACTCCACTAGTGTTGTTATTAAACAAGGTTCCATATTGACTCCACTAGTATTGTTATTAAACATGGTTACATATTGACTTCAATAGTATTGTTATTGAACAATGTTCAGTATTGACTCCTGAAGTATTGTTATTAAACATGGTTACATATTGACTCCACTAGTATTGTTATTAAACAAGGTTCCATATTAACTCCACTAGTATTGTTATTAAACATGGTTACAAATTGACACCACTAGTATTGTTATTAAACATGGTTACATATTGACTCCACTAGTATTGTTATTAAAC